CACTCTGTTTCTCTGACCTGCTAGACAGGTGTGTAATTTACTGATCTCTTAAACTACTTTTAATCTGCACATAGTCCAGGTTGCATCTTTGTCCCTCAATCTGAAGCTTTATTTTTTGCCTCCTGAATTGCAACAGTCAGTCTCAAATGTTTGTGGCATTGTGTTGGGTACTAGTAATTGTTGAAGCATTTAGCTGTGATAAATGCTAAGGGAAGGACCATCCTTGGAAAGCATTAAGAGACTCCTGGGTGTAACAAAGGTGTCAGTAGCTCCTTTGCTCTGTCAGTTTGGGTTCTGAAGCAGCAGAGGGGTGAAATGCTTCCCGTGGCATCAGAGGCACAGCCTCGGGTTAGTGATGGGAGTGTTTGGGTTTGGGTTGGCACTTGGTTCTACAGAGCCAAGAACTGTGGCCAGTAGCAGTGCCAAAGGTAATATGGATGGAGAGGGACTTAAGAGGGTTTGGGTGTCTAATAATTCTGACTGTAACTTTGTTCTCCCCAGAAGAAGCCAGAAGATCAGCACTGCAAGAGCATGCACGTCTCTGGCCTGTCCTGGGTGAAGCCTGGCTCAGTGCAGCCCTTCAGCAAAGAAGAGAAGACGATGCCCACTTAGCTTTTTTGGACACTGGTGCACAAAACACTTTCTGTGGGTGGAAGGAATGTAACGTTGGGAGAAGCAGCCAAGCAGCAGTTTCCTTCTTGACTGCGGATTAGTTAAAACCGAATGGTAGCAGTGACTCCAGTAAACCTGGTCAATGGTTCCTGACTCAGTGTTTTACATATGCATTAGGTTTTAAAGGCTTGCCTGGAGTTTGGAAGTCTCTCTTGAACACTGCAGTACTTCTACCTGAATACTGTCTAGGGTGGGTAGTTCCTCAGGGCTCTGAAATGCCTGGAGGTTTTGGGTTGGTTTTGAAGCTTTTATTTTTTTCCCCCTCCAGGAATAGCAATTTTTTAAGAAATCTTAAATGACTGGCAGAAATATTAGTATTGGGAATATGATGCCAGGGTTAAGCTGTGTTCATGTAAACTAATATAGCAGAGTTAAACACTATATTTAATGGTTTTAAATACTTTTTTGGTTCTATTGTAAATATGTTAGGGTTTGAAATTGTAAATAGATGGTTCATCGACTCCATTTAGCACTTTCCAGAAGTAAAGCTGGGGATGGACTTCTGTTGTATTATTGATTTGTAAATGGATGTTGTCACTCAAGCACACATTAGTCTGACAGGGTGAGCACAGAAGCTCAGCTAGTTAGGCTTCTAGTACAGAAACACTAAATCTAAGCTTTTAATGGTGGTCTCTAGAGCTAATAAAGTTTAGAGGGTTTTAGATTCCCTAGGTGTCTGGGGGATTGCTTAGGGTAGTTTGGCTAATGTGTGTCACTAGTGACATCTTAAAATAAAAAGAAACGGTGACTTAGCTTTTGTCCTGTGTGTCTATTGCAGACATTTAGCAGAGACTGGGACTGGGGTGGAGACACATAGGTACTTAGCTGCATATGTGTTTGGGGTGTTTAAGGGGATACCAAGAGCTGTTGTGTACTGAAGATTGGTTAAATACAATCTGTTCCACATACAGGAAAACCTCTCTAGAGTATGTACCTGTAAACTCGGAATCTTTTGATTTTCACATGAATCTTCCTAATGCCACAGCCTCGTGTGGTGCTTTGTTCTTGCCTAACAGGATTGTCCTAGCAGCACCTGAGTGCTGACCCTTGCAGCTGGGCTGCTTTTCTGTGGCTCCTTCTACCTGTGCTGATGGCATTGGTGGTAACCCTGCTGTCCTGGAACGAGTGGTAGTGACTCACGTGAACGTGCCCTGGTGTTCTGGGAGGGTGGGCAGTGCTGCAGGGTGTGGTTTGGGCTTTGTGGCTTGGCTTTTGTGTGTTTTGCTTTTACCTGACAAGCTAAATTCACTTCTCATCTAGCAACCTTTCCCAGTTACTTTTGAGGAAAGAGACTTCACAAGTAGCTGCTGTCATACAGCAAAGGAGAGGAAAAGAGGTCTCGGTGGCACTTGCCTAGGTCAGTGTTGTCTTCGGTGTGGCATTAGCCTCTGTATTTTGGGCACCTGGCAGGGTATGAAGTATTTAAAGTGCCTTAGAATTGTCACATGCCTGGTCTGAACTTGTAGTAGAAGACAGAAATGGAGGAAGTGATGTGAAAGCTGAGTTTGTATTGCCTGGAAAGCAGTGCTGTGTGTCTGTCAAGGAAACAATGTGGGAAAAGTTTTGGAGGAGGTGTGTACTGACCTGGGGTGTAGCCACTAAAATACCGTGAACGTAAGTTCTGTTGTTGCTGTTATTTCTCTCAAAACTTTCTTGGAAAGGCCAAACTGAAATTTAAATGTTTCAGCTTTATCATGGGCCAAGTTCAGTTACAGGACTCAGTGGGAAGCAAGAGTTGGGCTCAGCCTTGTGCTGGGCAGGACTGGGCTGGGATAGTTCCTCTTCATTTAGTTTTATGATTATTCAGAACCCTCTGTTATAAATCACTGACTTGCACATTTCCTAAGCCACTCAGGTGAAGGATTGGCATAGAAGTTTAATCCCTTGTAATCCTGGGATGCTCTTTCATCACTCTGCAGCAGGACAGACAGAGCAAAGTACTGTAGCCAGTGCCCACTGGCAGTGCTGCTGCTGCTCCTGTTGCTTTAGGAAACACCACAGTTAGCAGAAACAACGCCCAGGAGGAATGATAGAATAATGTCATAAAAATGATGGTTATTTGAGTAAGTTCTGTTTGGCTCTGAGCTGTCACAGATACTTCATTAAGAAGGTGTTTCTGAGTATCATCTTTGAAATGCTGAACTCTCTGAAGAACATTTCCAGGAGACCTGTAAGTTACACCAGTGACCTGACCCTGCCGAGGCTGCACTTGGCTGAGATGATCGTTGCAGATCCTGTCCATTGATTTCCTTCTGAGTTTTGAAAGAAATAATTTGAAGCTACTTCAGTTTTAATTTTTTTTAAAGCATGTTTACATACCAGATCTTTTTCCTTTGGAACACCTCTGAAGTAGTTGGTTTTTTAGCATTTGTTTCAAAGCATAAACTTTGAATTGTGCCTTTATTTACAGTTGAGGATTACTTAACAATTTGGTTTCAGAAAGGGACAGAAGCAACAGCTGATGAAACAGTGCCAGAGCCACTAGGTAAAACTGCAGGGGAAAACCCAGTATATCTATAGCTGTAAAAATACAGCACCAGTGCCTAAAGAGGTTCTTTACTAATGAATTTCTAGCAGAATTGTTGCCTTCTGATGGAGCAGCAGGAGGGAACACACCTGGAACCAACAATAACTAAAGCAAGGCAAGAGTAAATCCCTTCCCTCAGGGTGTGACCATCAAACCAAGTGTTGGAGAGCTGCAGACTAAGCTTTATACATACAATGCTATTTTTCTCCACACCAGAACATAAAACTGCGAGTTTATAAAGTCTTTATTGAAAAATACAATTGCAATATTTTCATACAAAGTGAAGTAAATGGTACAGAATAACAAGAATTGTCTGATACTTCCATAAATATTTGTACAGAAACATCTACACAACTTCTGGACTTCAGCCTTTTTGTTATGCAGGTAAGAGTGAAAGATGCTTTTGTTTAACTGAATTTACAGTGGAATTAAGTCCTAAACTTTGCTATTTTTCACAAGGGCAGGAATGACTGAAAACAGAGCTTTTAGGTTTTGTTTCCTTAGAAAACCTTCTGGAACCTGAGTGTGCTCCACTTTCTGTGGAGAACACACCATCCCCAGGGGTGCACTGGGGTGTGTGGTGGGTAGAGGTTTAATGCTTTCCTAGCAGGTCTGGTATTTTGGAACTATTTTAAATGCAAGCAAGTAATAAGTCTAACACGTGCACCACTTGCTCCTCCTATTAGTGTGGGAGAGGTTTCTCCCAGGCAGCTTGGTTTAGTTCAATTTAAAAAAAATAATACAAACCCCAAAACCAACCCCTAGCCCTGTCCTTTAATAACAAAATACCTCAGTAATGTTTTAAGAGATGGACACCTCTGTCCTGCTGCTGAGTAAGCAACAGAGCCAGAAGTGCCTGGCTCTGCAGAAAAGCAACAAGCATATAAAATTCCTTGGAAAAAAAGCACACATTGCTAGTTTCCTGCATTCATTGCTGCATATACATCAAGTCACAATGAACTCATAATGCCATTTCTCACAAGAGGAGCAATGGGCTGTCAGCTGGAAATAAATACAAAAGTCAAATTGGTTCAATACAGAACAACAGCTGAAGTCAACCTTTGCAAAACTATTCACATTTAGAAAGTGCCATTGCAAATATACAGCAAAACTCATCTGCCTTAAAACTGATGCTGCACAGCCCCAGGCAAAGTGCCACCCTGGGAACTCCAGTTGATTTTTAAAAATTGCACAGCTAATACCAATGGAGTAACACGATCACCTCCCTTGGGACTGCAAGGGGCCACACCTTAAAGCCAAACAACAAGATGGTTCTCAGGGGCACATAGAACATCCTGAATATGGACAGAATCCACCCAGACACAGCTTCCTTCAGGGCTCAAACCAATGACTCCCAGTATCCCTTTCCAAGTAGAGCTAGACTTGGCTGGACTATTACTTGTAAGTTGTTAGTTTGTGGCGGTGGTGATGGCAGGAACCGAGACAGCCATAGGATTCTCCTGTGTTGTCTTAACCTGTAACTGTCTATCCACAGCTAAAAATGGTGTGAGGGGAATGGTTAGCGCAAACAGATGTAAATACCTGGTGCAAGGTGTGTTAGGGATGTTCTCCAAGCAACAAAAAGCTCTTTGGCTGCTTTGGGAAGGCTTTGGGAAGGCTGGAGATGTGTCACTTGCCTGGTGAGTAGCTGACCCAGGGCCTGGGCAGGTGGCAGGGTCGGGGGTGTCCTCCCTGGCTGGGCAGGGCGGTGGGCTGAGCTCAGGCTGCTGCAGACACTTGCAAAGGCTCAGTGGGTCCAGCCCAGCCCCAGGGGCAGCAGAGAGGGAAGAGCTGTGTGGGCTCAGTGAGACCCTCGGTCATTGGCCACGTCTTGCAGTCGTCTCAGCAGAGCAGTGTGGTTCTCCTGGCAGATTCGCTTAGCTGGAGCCTCAGTTCCATCTTCTAAGAGAATTCCTCTCTTCTTGGTTGGTGTTTCCCCAGTTCGAACCATGCTGTTAATTTCCATTAGTCTCTGCAGGGAGGAGTGGAGAAAAAGTAGGATTAGCTCTCACTGTGTTGTGACTGCCACAGTATAACATGAACTTTTGTTAGGTGTGTTAGAAGGGGCTTACATAGGCTTTATTTCTGGAGATTGGTATTGTACTGCTTGTGCCATTACCAGAGTACACAGAGTCTTACTCAAACTCAAGTGTGTCACTGCATGGAGAGCTCAAAGGTCCATCTAGATTTACAACTCAGATAGCTGAGCTGACAGTTGGATGAGCATTAGGTGGCAAAGTGCACGTTGGACAAGGCAAACACAACACTGCGTTGCACAATCTGCTCTAATTTCACTGCCACAAAGAAAAGGTAGAAAGCAAACTGAAACCCTTCAGTCTCACCTTGGAGGGACTGCTGCTGAAGTAATAGAATATTTTCTCCTGAGGAGAGAGAGCAGGCTCGTTTCTGTGCGGGGAGATGTAGAGGGGGTGGTTCTGGGAGAGCTGGACCCTGCGCGGGGAGCTGAGCCGCACGAAGGGGTAGGGCGAGAGCGGAGGAGACTCGGTCTGTGTGGGAGAGAACAGCATCACTCATCAGCTGCTGCCCCACCTGAGGTCACTGCAGCAAGGCCTTAAACCCATCTAGGCTTGTCCACCACATGATCCCCACAGATGTACAACAAAGGTGAGTTTTGTCATCTTCTTAAACCAGATGAGTTATTTTTAAATTCACTTTTCTAACCCTGAGGGTGGCAGATGACATAGCTCAGTGTTGTATATTTCATACAGGAAGGAAAACAGCAAAGAGGCACTGAAAGGACTTAATGTTTTAGCCACAGAATATGTCCTTGAGGTGAAATTACTGTCATAAAAAGAGAACCCCTTGAGTTTGCTTACAGTGAGGTTAGCTAAGGAGACTTCACCGCACGCTCAACAGAACAAGTTGTGTAATAACAAAAAGCACAGGATTTGACTTACTGCATTCGAAGTGTATTTCAGGGCAAACTCCTTAATCTGCTCGATGTAGACGTTGTTGTAGAACTGGATGAGGTCCCCTCGCTCCTCCTCCTCGGGGTCGTTCCCGGAGAGCCGCGGGGGCGTGGGGGGGGCGCTGCCCGGGTGGGGCACGGGCAGAGTGCTGCTGGAGCGCATCACCGGGCTGGAGTCCCTGCTGGCTGCAAACCGCACAGCACGCTCCTCTCAGACAGCTGCGACACCAACAGCCCTCCAGACTGCTGCTCACAGGGACTGCGACTCTGCTGCTGCTCTCAGTGACACTAATTCTGTTCCCTGAGCCTCCTCCCGTACGCAGAGTGTGGTTAACGACCACCATACAGCTCAGCAGGGGCACACACACCATTTCTAGCTTCTTACTGGATAAACTGCAAGTGGTTTCTCTGTGTAATTTGAGTTTCATCACAATATAAGGAGAGCTCCATTTTTTTTCAGCCATTTGTGCTATACTTTTAACAGTAACTCCTTGTTGCCACCTGGCACCATTTTAAGTAAGGAATGGTCTTTCAGCTAGTAGCAGAAATATTTGGCTTCGTAATACATCCTGCTGATTTAAAGTGGGAAGTTGCAAAGTGTATAGAACTCTTTTCATCCCCTTCCTGCCATCTCTCTGTGCAGAAAACATTAATCCCTACAGCTTAGACAATCATCTGTTAAATATCTTGAAAACTGGTGGTAGGAACACACAGCATCACTACTTTGCTTTCCTTTATGAACATTAACTCAAGGGAAATGTGCCAGTTGATGTCTCAAGGAAAGAATCTTTGGAGCAGCTGCAATAGAAGCTGTGGGCAGTGTTCCTATCTCTGCAGCCAACCAGCTGCTACAAAAGAAACTGCTGCAGCTCTGTGGCTGTGATAAGAGTAACTGAACCCAGGCTAGCCCTGATATGCTCTAATTCTGCAAAGACTTATCTTTGGTATGCAAGGTGAACTCACAGTGCAGGCCACAGCCAGCATGGGAACCCTCCAGGGTAAGTACACGTGGGGAGAGATTCAAAACTCTCCAAGTGGGTGCAAGGTTAGCCCTTGAGTTACAGCAACTCTTAAATGTTATCAACATGTTCCTAATTGTGTCCGAGTTTACCAAAGAAAGAACTGCTCAGGGCAGGATGACACAAAATCTCTTACCTTATGTACACTGTTTAGGAAATGGGATTAAAAATTAACCTCTGGAAATGGGGATCACTCACATCGTTCTTTGTTTCTCTCTTTGCTGTCCTTCCTGTCTGTAGGGGAGTTCTGCTGGCTGCTGCTGTCGCTGCTGCCCGAGCGGCGGCGCCGGCGCCTGCCCTTGATCAGGACACTGCGATAGACCTGCAGGGAAGGAACAACAGAGGAAGGATGATGCAGGTCCCTAGCCAGCAAACAATATTCTGCATGGTATGTCTGCTTTCTGGAAACTTCATTGTGGGATCAAATTGCTTCTTCCAAGGAAAACACAGCCCCCTACGGGGAGTATTATCCAATGGGTATTGCCTCCTTAGGTTTTAAGTAAGGATATTTTCTGGTTTAGGTATGTTCAGTGTAAAAAGCTTTCAGTAGTGCAGGAGAATGGCTCACAGACTGCATCCATTTAATGCTAAATGTGACTCTGCACAATGATCTGTTCCAGAATAGAATTAAGGCATTAATAAACCAGATAGAACAAGGTTTACTAATCACTGCACTCACGTGACTCTTGGCCTGGGGCTGTGTCCGATAGCAGCGCATGATGTTCTGAAATGATCTGTCTTCCTTGGTAACCTAAGAGGGGATGGACACAAAAGGTTCAGAGTTTTTCTGCAGGCTTCTTCAGTTTGGGAGTGGTTGCATATGTTGGGTTTGAGTTTTTTGACGAATCCATAATCGTTGGATTATTAAGTATTAAAGAAGTTTTTTGTTTGTTTGCTTTACCTTTGTTTACACTTTACCTTAGTCATGACATAGATGGCACACATCAGCAGCTGATCCAAGTGTCTGTCCATCATGATGTCAGGGCAGTGCACCAAGGAATACTCAAAGCATGTCCAGATCTTTTTCCGCAGCTCATCAGACACATCGAGTTTGACGCAGAGATCCCTCAGCCGAACGCTGGCTAAGTGATACACCTGTTGGGATGGAGACTGTGCTCAGGGCCACAGCAAAACAGGAGTGCAGACATGCACACCCTCTACAACTGCTGAGCCCAAAGAAGAAAAACTACATTTAACTTTTTTTGCTTACGAGACACCGACATTCTCAGTACTGGTGTTAGTGCTAAGAAAACACTTGTTTCAAGCTTAAATTCTAAGTTGTCCTGAGCACAGGAACTACTGCACTGAATAAACCAGAAAGTCTCAAAGGTGAATCTCTTTCTTTGGGAAAGCTCTCCAGAAACTGGACACCTTTAAGAACCTGCTGGCCAAGTACAGAATCTACTCCACAACTCCTGCTGGGGCTGTGGTGACAGCCCACTCCTTTGCTTGTGAGAAGAGTCCTGCACAAGAAAACCATCTTCAGCCATGTGTATGAATAACTAAGAACTATATATATTTGCAAAATTACTGAAGCTTTACCAAAATACAAACTAAACAAAGCAAAGTTAGACCCAAAAAAGTACCTTTCTGAAGAAGAGTGAAAGTGAGCCCATCTTCCTGGGCCTGCTGGCTGTGGCAGTGGGGAACTGCTGGGTCTGCCTTTGCCCTCCAGGAGAGATTTGCTGCACAGCTAACTGGCCTGGTAACTGCAGTGCTGCCCCAGTCATCTGAGTGTTCAGAGTCCCAGCAAGAGTCTGGGCACTCAGGGGCTGAATGGGACCAGACACCGCTTGGGGCTGGGTACCTACATTTACTTGGACTGGGAAGAAAGTTATTCCTCCATTTTCATTGGCAATACCTGTAATTTAAGAAAGACAGTCTGAAATCAGAGCAAATTGTGTGTGTGTGGGGGTGTGCGTGTGGTTTTGTTCGAGTTTTTAAAAATAATCCAGTAATTCTTTCATTAACTGTTTGTATGTTTTGTATATTATACATTAAATTGTTTAACCAAAATACTTTGGATTTTTCATCAAGAGACAAGAAGACAAGGATGACGAGAGAACTCAGCAATGTGTATGAATAACTAAGAACTATATATATTTGCAAAATTACTGAAGCTTTACCAAAATACAAACTAAACAAAGCAAAGTTAGACCCAAAAAAGTACCTTTCTGAAGAAGAGTGAAAGTGAGCCCATCTTCCTGGGCCTGCTGGCTGTGGCAGTGGGGAACTGCTGGGTCTGCCTTTGCCCTCCAGGAGAGATTTGCTGCACAGCTAACTGGCCTGGTAACTGCAGTGCTGCCCCAGTCATCTGAGTGTTCAGAGTCCCAGCAAGAGTCTGGGCACTCAGGGGCTGAATGGGACCAGACACCGCTTGGGGCTGGGTACCTACATTTACTTGGACTGGGAAGAAAGTTATTCCTCCATTTTCATTGGCAATACCTGTAATTTAAGAAAGACAGTCTGAAATCAGAGCAAATTGTGTGTGTGTGGGGGTGTGCGTGTGGTTTTGTTCGAGTTTTTAAAAATAATCCAGTAATTCTGGGGGGTGTGTGCGTGTGGTTTTGTTTGAGTTTTTAAAAATAATCCAGTAATTCTTTCATTAACTGTTTGTATGTTTTGTATATTATACATTAAATTGTTTAACCAAAATACTTTGGATTTTTCATCAAGAGACAAGAAGACAAGGATGCTGAATTAACAAGCCTGAAAAGCTGCTGCACGATTCCTCTCTCACCTTGTACTGGTATGGTCACAGTTTGCCCGTTGTTGGCAGTAACAGTGGCAGTTGCCACAGTAACCAGGGTCTGGCCTGGCACTGGAGTTACTGACATGGTTTCAGGGTTCATGTTCTGCACAGGCACAGTGTTCACCACAGGCTGCTGGGAAACTCGTACTGGAGTTCCACTGTCAGAGGGAGTGTCATTATCAGCAAACAGTCGTCGTCTGGTGGGATTGGCTGTGGGAGAACTGTATCTGTCATACAGGGTAGCTGGAGGTGATGAAAGGCCTGTGCATTGAACACACACAGATGAGATAGATATATATTTATAATCCCTTATTATACAAACACATGACAGAAATCCAGTCAGAACCAAAATATGTCATGCAAAGCTCTTCAGGAAACATTTTTAAAAACTCCTTATGTCTACATGTGTGGTATACAGAGATGCCAATCTCCAACAATGCTGTGCTTAATGTTTTTCTAGGTGAATGCATTGTTTTATTTTTTCCATTGAAAAAGATGAGACATAACTGAATAGAGAGTGGAGCTTCTATTCTGGTGTAAGAATAAAGCAAACCAATTAGAACATAAATTGTGTGTGTGTAAATGTTTTATAAGAGACAGATATGCTGTTCACACACACAACCTCCTGCAAACACCCTATCAAAACAGTGTTTGTTCACACTGAAATAATGAACCCATTGATCTTAGACCTCTGCCTTCATTTTGGGATGAGTTACAACAGAAATACCACTTACAAATGCGTTTGCAAGTTCAAGCAGCTTCCTTACTTATGAAAATTCAGCCTAAGGCAGTGTAGTGTACAGCATGTTATGCTTTAATAGTCTCTCACCTTTTCCTAGTCCTCCAGTCTCAGCACGAACCTCGTTTATTCGCCTTGGTGTCAAGGGTGAACCTACACCACTGCTCCCAGCAGATTTCTCAAAGTACTGAGGTGGCATGACCTAAAACATTTATACTTTTATTAGAGTGTCTGTATCATAGCTTAACTACCTAGTAAATTTTTAAAAGCTAGTAGTGCATTACAAATTTTGAACAGCAAAACTCTATGGAAAAAACCAACAGTGGAAAACTTACACCCTAAGGCTAACTAAACCCACATAGTGATTGTGCTGCTCTGGGAGCTACAGCACTGCAATAGTCTTTCTGTGAGTACTTTTTACCATGTTTCTTGTCTAGTCATCTTTGTTCCAAACCTTCCCTCCCTGTCCATTTTCTTCATGGTTCTGCTACATCATGCAAACACTGGTTGAGAACCATCTCTGCTGCCTGTTCCATTTGGGATGTCCATGAACAGAGCACACTGCATTTACTGCTTTCTCTGCATTGCTGGGCTGTAGGGTGAAACTGAGACTGGGACATGTCAGGCCTCTCCTTCAGGGTATAATGTCTTCTCTCTGCCATCCTGTCTGATTACAAAACCTATGTGAAACATGAAGCTGTGCTCACCTCTTCACAAGTAGGAACTTTGTTTTCATTCTCTCGGATTCTGTCCCACAGGATGGATTCCTGTGTCCATGCCATACTTTCCAGGATCTGTTCTTCAATATGATTGAGGTGTTTCACTACCTCCCGACACAGCCCATCCTCTGCTCTGATGAAAACCTCAATTACCTGTCAGGTGAAGAATTAGGATCAACAAAACATACTTGTTCCATATATTTCTCCTTAAACAAACGTCTACTTCCAATTCCTGATTTTCAAGGAAGAAAAGACTCTTAGAAATATTAAGGCTGAATTACTGTGACTGAATCCTATGTTGTCATAGAGGTCAATGAACACTCATGATAAGCATTTTTAGCTATCAAACACATTACCTTATAGAAATGATAAACTGGAATGTCAAATATTTCAGTGATGAACGGGAAGTTTCCAGGTGGTTTATAGGTAAAGGTAACAATCTCAAGGCAACATGCCAGCAGAGACCTGTGAAACACATCTTGCTCCAGTATTGCCTGCAAGAGTTGCAAATTTTAAAGCTTAATTTACAGTGTAACTATACAACAAGAAAACACTTTTAATCCTGCCTCAACTAATATCACCCACCTTATAAAAAGCGATGTTATATCGTAAGAGACAGAACAGAATCCAAAATGAGCTGTCTTGACTCATTAAATATTTATCTGTGTGTTTGCAAACACAAATCATTTCTTGCACCCTTTTTCTTCCATTCAGGTGTCCTTACAGGCTACTTCTCAGAGATTTGCCCTCATTTTACACAGCTGACTATTCTGCTCTACAACTGTGTTCCTTTTTTGTTGGTCCAGCTTTAAAAACAAAGTGCAATTTGATTAGTTTTCCTTACAGATAAGTCGGTGTCTCCCAGTCTCCTCCTCTCTTGCTCAATGACTGACTCCAAGACCTTGTAGTACAGCATCTCAGCACAACGGAAATGTTTACTAGCAACATCTGCAGAAGTTTAAACAGAAGCAATATTTTGAAATGCAATAAAAAAGCATTCTATTCTTCATCTTAAGATACAGAGACAACAGTTTATTAGCTTGTGTGGCTTTCTATGCTGCTGTGGCTACAATAGTTTCAGGACTAAACCTGTTAATTTGATGCAGGAATCCTTGTCCTACACTGCACTGACTCGTGACCGCAGAGCAGAGTAACTTGCTCCTGAACTCAGATTTTGATAACACCATATATGAGAACCATCCTTACCATTGCTATAAGAGGTATTTCAAGCTCAGAAAAGACATTGAAAATTAAACCTGTATGGATCCAACTTGCACCGTGCAACAGAAAACACTGAAGCAACTAAACTGCCAAGAACATAGTAAGGCCTCATTAAGAACCAAGGTCAAGAGCATCTTCCTTATTTTTAATCCATCTTCAGTCACTTCAGATATCAAGACAACTTTGCAAATAATACTCTGTGTTTATACTGGCAGGATTTTAGTATCTGTCCTAATCCATCCTCCTCTGTAAGCCAAAACTGCTGTTGGGCTTTTAAAGGCTAAAATTACTCAGATTTTTTTTCACCAGCAAAGAAATCCATGACATTGCTGCTATTTTTATATTTGAGAGAAAAAGCACTTAACAGTGCTTTTCATTTCACTGCTGTAGTACCAAAAGTGTGATCAAATTCCAGTGAAGTTAAGGCTGATTCTAAAATTTTATTCCACATTAAAATTTGCTATGTCTTAAAAATACAGGGAAAAGCAAGAGAAGTAGAAAAGACACTTGTGCTAAAGCACAACCTTTAGGTAAGACTGTTAATTACAAGAGATCAATGTGTTTACAGGCATTTTAATTCTTATCTAGATAAGCAAAATATTTCCTACCTTTGGAAAAATTACTGAATTCTCCCTCAGACTGTGTGCTCTGGCAGTACACATCATGCATTTCTTTTACTCTGTTTGCAATAGCTTGAGAAGGATCTCTGGAACATGACCTGAAAATAAAAACTAAACATTTTCAATATACTATTCCTACCAAGACCAAAAACCCCTGGTTCTCTAACATGATGAAAGCATGAAAATGTAAATATGCTGCACAGTAATACAAGCACACCCAGATGTGTTTAACTGTGCACGGACTGTAAAAACTCCACAGCTTATTATTATTGTATATGTTGTAGTAAATATGCTCCTTGTGATGAGGAAGAGATATTTAAACAGCATTTTCCACGTGATCTAAAAATTGCTTTAAAATCCATTGTACCTGAAGCAACAGTTTATCTACATGAAGAACAGGGTTTCCACAGTATGGAGTGATTTGGTAAGCAGGAAGAAGAAAAGCCTTGAAAATTTTATACTAGTGGGATTAGAGAAGGTCAGAACTGTTGGGGTTTAAGTGGTGTATGTTCATACAGCCATCAATCAGCAGGGACAGATGTGTCCAAATAAAAACAACAGTCTTTTGAAATCTAAATGTCCCTCTGGCTTCTGTTTTACTCCAGAGCCTTTCCAGACTGGCTCACATTTTAAACGACACTGTTTAGCATTAACGTTATTTAAACTATTCAAAAAGTCAAATGATTTGTTTGGTTAAGCACTGAACTTACTTGAGTATTTGCTCCAGATTTTCACTGGGGGCATTTTTCAGCCCTGCCAGCATGGTGTGGAGGCGGCTCAGACTGTATGTTGCTATGGAAACAGGAGTCACATATGGGGTGTTCTCTTTGATGTACTTGCGGCCAGTGAGTGGGGTTGTGATCCTCAGGGATTTGGACTAAAAATAAACAAATAAGCACATGTACACTGGTATAAAACTTTTTGATAAAGGTCATAACCTAGAAATGTCAAACCTGCAGAATCCTTACTCTGTGTTAAGGGAAAAACCAGCTGGGAATCCAACAGCCCCAGGAGCAGCAGTGACAAGATTTGTCTGTGTCACTTGGATGTTTGTATCAAACAGTACTGTACAAACTGAGGGGAGGTGACCTATGCTGAAATACAGGTACTAGAAGTCCAGTGTGAAACAACTAAGCCAATTGAAAACAAACCAACAAAACCAAACCAAAAAACCCTCAGCAGTGCCCTCCCATCCCCTGAGTATCACAGGCAGCTGCAGCTCACAGGAAAAGTGTACTAAGCCACAGTTTCCTTTCAGCAGGTTTAACTTCTAATATGAGAAGCTCCTTCTTTTAGGAGCTGCTCCTCTTCATCAGACATAGAATTACTCAACTTATTCTCCACATAAAACAAGCAAGGCAGACCATGCCAGACTCACCCTGTCAAAATGCTGCTGCAAATTATGCTTCACTTGCACTCTTTCAGCTGTTTCTGTTGCTGTAGTTGTGTTCAAACACCTTGTTAGAGTCCCAATTTCTTCATCTGCATCCTCCCCAAGAAATATTCGCTCATCCAGATTCCCTACTGACAGCACATACTCCTCATAGGCCTTGTTGATGGCTTTGCTACAGCAGAAAGGACAAAATGGAGAAAAAAAAACACCTTTACTTGGGCTGCTTTGTTCAGCTCTTACTGAATGAACACAGCTCTGGCCTGTTGGCTGCTTCAAACTTCTTCCGACACTGATCTAAGCATTGGAGCTCCTTTACAAATCTACACTATCTTAAATGTGACAGTGGCAAGGATGTTATTCTCCCTTCATACCTGAGGGGTTGCCATTTAGTGCAGCTGCAGGAGGAGCAAAATAAAATCCTAAGAACTCGGTATTTGGCTAGAAACTCCTCAAAGTTTACACAGCATCACATCATAACCTACACTTACCATTTTTATTCTGTTTAAAAGAAAAGAAAATAATCCCTACCCATGAACACCACAGGCTGCTGGCTGGTGTTAGTGCTCAGACACAGGTAACAACACAAGTGCAACTGTATTCCAGACCAAACCACACATACAGTGACTTACAAGCTATCTCCAAAGTTTCCAGGATCTAGAAATCCAGTCAGATTTTCATCTTTTCCTTTCAAAAGCTGTAAGACAGTGAAGAACCAAGGATGAGCATTTCATTGCTTAAAAGGGTTTGGAAGATAATAAGCAAGGAGAAATTTCTCTACATTACAAATTTACTGACCAACCTTTTTGTCAAAAAGTTTCCGAATATATGGCTTCCAAAAATGCTCCTTGATACCTTTTGCATCTAAAACTAATCCATAATGTAATGAACAGAGTTTCTCAATGATGCAGGGAGGATCAGATGACACTTTGTAATCCTTACTATGAAAGTCTTCAGGTAGGCCTAGAATTAAAAATACTGTATTAATTAGTTTGGCAAATCCGTATCTTGTTTTCATATTAAACTTAAAATTCTATGCTGTGTAGCCTAGGTAGAGTGAAATTAAACCAGGAAACTAATTAGCTCCCTTGAAAGACTTACTAATTATGGAATGCTCACTGAATTGGATACTGTTATCAAGAGTCAGAGGTTTAAAAAATATTAGTTACTTAGTGATAAACATGAAATATATCAGTTCTAATAGAAAAACAAACACCTGTGAACTACAGTATTTGAGGTAACAGTCCCAGTTCACACCCAAAGCACAGCACAGGAAAGGCCAATATTGTGGAAATGAAATGCAAGTCTGGAAGAATTACACCAGAAATTCCACGGACACTTCTCACCACTCATTTGCATTTGTGGTTATAAAGTCAATCTACATTTCCATTCTCTTCAGAAGGAGAAGAGCAGAAATCCAGAAATGAGAGAGGCACATCTCATATTGGAGCACCAGATCTCTCCAGAGTGCTGTGTCACAACAACACTCCAGTCTGACAGTGCCCAGTGATGGCTCAGTCCTTCCTCACCCTTTCACTGACATTAAACCCTCATTAACTGACACTTTTACTTTGGAACTTCCTTCAATGGTACTTCCATTGTAAATCAGATTCTTGACTTACCCTATTACTGACAAAATTCACTGGTCTGTTACATACTACATCTGTACAAATGGAACTGTGTGGGCAGATATAGGAAACACAATTCCTGTGTATTTCAAATCAGAATTAGTCAACTTATTCTCTGCCACATAGATTCATACTGATTTCAGTAGCCTCAGAAGTTCTTGCAGACTTCAGATAGATTATCCAACATACCATTAAAATTAGGATTGAGAAGTTCTTTGCGGTTAGGACACTGGAGAGCATTTCCATACACTAGATCCAAAGCACATAACAAGAGATGGTAGGAATTGACCAAGTCATCACTGATCATAGGAAAATTTCCTTCAATATTAGAAAGACATAAGACATAAAATTAGCACAAATTTAAATTTGTTTTAACCAAGAAAGTGTTGATATTTGTATTACAATCAGTAATGCAGTCGTGGATACAAACACCTGGATAGAAACACAGCTGGTAAAGCAGACTCACACTTACTAAAACATAGCAAATACAACAGTAAAAAAGAGCATATTGAATTTAAAAGTTAATCTATACCTTAGTCCAACCTTACCAAAATGTTAATGACTTGTTATTGCAGGCTCCCTCATTCCCAGCAACCTGACTAACCTGTGCATAAATCACTTGAAGCAGCACAAACTGCATAATGCAAACTGCCTCAAGGAAGAAAAATGTGTTTCCACAGCTCTGGCAACACCAGCCCCACTGGTAAGGATCAACAGATCCTTACTGCAACTTCAAGGACAGGTATAAGTTCTTGAAGAAATCTATCATATACTAATAAACTCACTTAGAACACATCAAAATGTATCTATGATTAGAGAATTTTTCTAAATTATGCTGCTATTTTTCTACCAGTAACATACCAGTTTACTCAAATTTATATTAAATGTTCTCATTCCGTGTTTGTTAGAAGAAAACACAATTTTAATGTGGATAATTTAAACTATTTAAAATAATGAATGAATCCTGCATGAAATTTTAGATAATTGCTTTAATTAACACTTAGCAGTTATTTCCAAATCATGAAAGTTTCACAGCGAAGCAACGAAATTCCTCAATACTATTAGCAAAACATTAATCAATAAAATTCCCAAAGTAACTCTCACAAAATGGTTTGGCTTCACAGCCATGAGGACTAAATCACTGCTGTCAGCACAGTCAAAAATAAATCTCATTTCACATAGCAGTATTTCATAGCAATGATCTGCTGATGACATTTCAAGCAGTCCCTTCCACAACCTCCTACCAAGTAATAAGAAACAGTTCTCTCAGAGCAGCAGAGATTTTTTTTTCCCAATTTTAAACAAAGAAGAACAAGAGTTTAAAGACAAATTCTTACAAATAGTATGCAAGAAATGTAGTTTCACTGGACAAAGTGGCACCTTCAGCCAAAGGCACGGACACACCTGCCCTTTCTGCCTTTGGGAACCTGAGAATGGTCTGCACAAATACCCCAGGCAAGCCTGGACCTGCCACTGATGTGCTGTTGCCACAAGGATTATTGCTAGTCCTCAAAACACAGGGAACACAACCCAACACTAACACTTAATGCCTTAAATGGCCAACATTTAGTTTACATTTTTGTGCTGCCACACTTGAATAATCACTAATTTTACAGTTTATGTTTACTCTAAGTTTCTCTTTTTCTTGTCAAATCTAACTGAATATGTTATCAACACGGTATTCTCCACAAAGTTAGTTAGTGTGTCTGAAACTGCTCACTAATTGTGATGCAGCCAATTGATGATGTAGTTGCTCAAACATGTTAACTGATGATTTAGCACCAGGAAGACCCATAAAGTCCCTTTGCATCTTGTCAACTGCTCGACTTTCCCACAGAAGTGGGGACTTTATAGGAAAGAAAAATCTGTGATTTTTCAGACTGACCTACTTACTCTCTGAGCTGCCTGACTGTGCTAAAGAAGACCCAACTGACAGGGATTAAAGTACAGCAGTAACTCTTCCCTGGGCTCAGTGGATGAAAATCATACTGTTTCAGAGCTGTTTAGGAAAGATTTCTCTGCCCCAAGACAGTGGAACTGGCAGCCTATGGCAAAAAAGTATCTTCCACATAAGATGAGAGTGTTCAGTGCAGCACTCATGGCCCAGCACACCCCTCCTGACCTTCAGACAGAGGTGGTGAGGGCCCAGGGACGCTGCCTGCAGCCCTCTGCAAGGTGCTCAGTGTAGAAGGAAATCTGTACTGAACAAAACTAGTGCCAGACCATTCAGTATTGCTGCAGCCTACTCTGCCCCATCCTCAAAACCATCCAGCTAAGGAAATCACTGCACACTGCAGGAATTCACTTTCAAATTTGAGAATAACATCCCACCACACGCCCCAAAACCAAACCAAAAATTCCTCTTATCCTTGGAGAAATTAAAATATTTGTTTTCTTCCACTGGATGTTATACTATGAAAAAATATCACAAGTCACTGGACATCATCAATGGACCTGAATCTACAGACTCCTTTTATGGGGAACATAGGTCCTGTCTATTTTCCTCAAAGCACTGTTACCTGTACATAACTCATAGTGAACACTCATCCAAGCAATCCTCGAAAAAAGGCCTAAGGATGCAGAAACTCTAAGACACAAGTTTGACAAGGGAAGGTTTTAGAGTATATGTGCTATGACAGAAAAACTGAAGCTTTAAATGAGGATTTAATCTCGTTCCCTCCTGTGGCTTTTTCTCCCAACACTCATAATCAAGAAGAACCAAAATTCCCTACTGTTCTTACTAGCTTTGAGGCTGCTCTTACAAGAAAAAATGTACTGCAATGTACATATAACCTATGTTCACTGCATTAATTCTACAGAAGCATATTAAGGGAGGATCCTCTGACATGTTCCAAAGGAATCCAAGTGTTCAAGACACTTAGCTGTTTATGTATATCCTGCTATGTCCAAAATGCAAGGGGAAATCACCCTGGCAAGACAAGCACATGTAAAGCTATTCAGTAATGCACATGGATATTTGACACAGCTGCTGTGTGCTCATTTCTTTGAAAAGTTGGAGGGGGGGCAAAAAGGCTATCCAAACAATCAAAATAGTGTGAAAAGTATTAATATTCACACAAAATTTTATGATAATTATTTACTAGGTTGTAGAAACAAATTATTAAATCTTTTCAGTATTGCTGAAAGCTCAAGAAACATTTAAATATTCTTTTGACCCCAGTAAACATATATATAAACATCTTTGTTGATTACGGTGACATCTAAATACGAATTCACTAAGATTAATTTTTCCCCTTGGAATCACAACATAAATCTCCACAATACTGGAAACTTCATAAAAATATTACATGTAACAGATACCAAACTATCTGAACACACATCTCACCTTGGAAGTGTGGTAAAACACACAGCTGGGGAAATTAAACAAGAACACATTGCTCCAGGCTGTCGTGGGAAGGTCCCTGCTCCAAAGGCATTTCTGAGTTCAGAAATATCTGCACCTATTCCATGTTTTAAGGACTGATATAAAATAATGAATAACATAACTACCTCTTACCTTTTGCATGAACAAACAGCACCCAACAAAACTGGAAAACTTCAGTCACAGTACACGGCTGTCGCCTTTTGGGGGAAAACACAGCAAGAAAATACCCAGTAAGCTCAGTGAATCAGAACTGATGAAACATCACACAGCAGTCAGTAATTCTAGAGTAAAATTCAGCTTTACTACAGTGTGGCCAAACTCTTACCCCTCCCACAAATCCCTGACTAAAGGGAATGAGGAGCTGCATACAGCTGAGTGCAGACAGAAGTGGAGCCCCAGTCACAGTCTGCACATAATGACTTGTTTTCACAGCACTCCTAGTATGAACAGTAACCAAGAAACAAAGTGAAATATCCACAGGATCTGAAGAAATCCATGGGAGCTACTTGCTAAGCTGAGCTGTCCTATGAGCTATTAAAGCTATGCAAATTCTGTAAGGATCAAATTCTTCCAGCCTTTCCCATCTCAGAAATACCAGTATTTCTCTTGTCTAGAGGCTGGTTTGAATCTCTCCCTTTTCCCCATTCCCCCAAATCATATAAACTTAGCTGCTCTGGGATTTCCTGCACCCTGTCAGATCTGAGACTGAAAAAAAAAGATTAAAAAATTTACCACAAGCAAGCACAGACAGACCAACTGCCATACTGCAAACAACTACTATGAAAATACGGTCAAAATCCAACTAAAACACCCAAGAACTTCATTACACTTCCACAGCAGTCATACTGTACAGTCAGTCTGGAAATAACATAAACATACCTCTGCTTTCTTCCTCTCTGCTGACGAGGTTGATCTTCTTGAGGATACCTGAATATGTCCTGGAAAATGGGCTCATACTTCTTAAATATGACTGCAGAGACAGTAAAGTTTCTCTCTAACCTCTCGGTTCGTTCTCTGAACTGGGATGGGAGATTGGCCATGTCTTCCCACTTCTTCATCTTGTTAAAAAACTCAATCAAGCTGCAAATACCAAACAGGTTAGATCAGAAAGGCTGTTTGTTTTTCTTGCAGAAACATACTACACATTTTCAACAGAAGTGCAACTTCTACTGCCCAAACTGCTGCTAACATGATGGTGTTGCAAACGTGACAAGGAACTCGGAGCTAGACCTTCACCCAGAAACATGGATGAGCAGACAGCTCACACAATATTTTTAGATCCTCAGTTGATAACTAAGTTAACTGTACACTCACAGTTCTGGTGTTTCCTCATAAAGACAAAATCAGCCCCAGCAGTCAGATTATTCTAAAATAAGATTTCCTTCCTTTTTCTGAATAGTTTATTAACTTAAATAAAACAAACTCTGAGTTCCACAATGCTCAGGATATTCTACAAAGTATGAAAACTCCTAAGTTTTGGTCAAATGCACTTTGTATATTTGACTTTCATTCAGTTTTTGCTTATTTATCTACACCTTCTTTTTCAGTGTAGCAAAGATCACAGAAACAATTTATCCACATTCAATTCTCTGAATTTCTGATTTGGAAAACAGAAGTTTAAAAGGAACATTTCTGCACTGTTTAGACCAACAGCAATGCTCCAGCAGCAGAGGAAATGGGAGAGAAAGTGCACAAGAACATTCTCTTTTGTGCCAAACTACTAAATTTTTAGAAGACAATCAGATTGCTAATAAATAAAGTCAGTTGTTTAGGAAGCTTTTCTTCGTGCTTTAGGGACATAAACAATAGACACAAACCTGTTTATCAGATTCGCACATCACTTTAGTTTCATAAATGACATGTAAAAAGTGATGTTTTCTTACACAAAAAGATCAATTGTGTGAATGTTTCAAAGCCAATTGAAAATGGTTTTTCCTGTGAGAAGTTCACACTGCACACTCCAAGAACTGTCTCTTCTTCAGTGACTGGTTTCCCTTTCTCCTTTGAGAGAAGGAAGTCACTCTTATTTTGAGAAACACAGGACTTGAAAATAAGAGATTGACTCAGAACATCCTACTGAGTGAACGGAACTGCCCCTACCTCTGTGGCAATCAGCTCTAACACAAACATTCCATACACATCTGACACAAATTCTATCTTTAAAAGCAGGAAACAAGAAATACATTTAGCCTTTGTTCTTTCGGTTTCACAAGCTGCTAAGCAGCCTTGGAGATCTCATAAGTGTTTAACAACTAGCAAAAAGAAAAGTTACCTCTGTTCTGAGCAGCGCAAGATTCTGGTGAGAGACACATAATTTCCCTCAGCAGTTCCTCTGCTCACAGTTGGAACTGCTTTCCTGCAAGCCACGTACAAGGCACAAGCTAACCAGTGCATGTCGTTTCCCTGTGAATCCAAACATGAGGCATTTAAAAGGCTTCACTGAAAACAAAAACAAACTTTTCAGCCAACCTGACATCAGGGCGAGGAACAGTGTCCTAAATGAATGAAGTTCAACCAGTGACAAAGTGGATTTGTTGCTTCAAAGTTCTGTTGTGTTTTACGGTTTTAGCTACAGGAAAACAGGTGCTAAGCAGAGGCTTGTTTAAGTAGCTACTGTATGTGTAGCAGCTACTTAACACCGAACTGCATCGAAACTAAAATTACTAGTTACCACGACAAATTTCACACTTGACCCAAACTGTAGCAATACGATTTTAGTGTTGTGCTTCTCCTGTAACATTCTGTACTGCCCTGATGGAAGAAAGACTACAGTTCCTTACTGTCAGAACATTCCTTCGCCCTGAACAGACAGCGGGAAAAGAAAAACACAGTTTCCGTTCTAACCTGTATTACACAACAGAACAATCGGTTTGGTACCTGAAGAAATTAGTTCTAACGAAGAACTGAAATTTTATTCTTCCTCCCTGATCCAATACCAACATTTCAGCGGGCAAAGGACAGGTGAAACAAGGGAACGATGCTGTGGTTTCTTGGGCTGAGCGCACACCGCGGGGAGTGTCTGCCCGAGCATCCCAGTGCTGGCAGCGCTGAGCCCCGGTGTGACAGCCGCGCAGCACCTCCC